TGAGACCAAGAGAAATTATTGCAGCACTGTTTGCCCTATTAGAAGCAGCATTTGAGGAATCCCAATCAGCCAGCTGGGCAGTTTCAGAGATCTCCTCTTCCCTTATCAGTTGACTTCATGCTGCCACTGGACAGTAACAAAGAGCCAAAAGTATAAATGGGCCAAGGAAAGGCACAAATAATATAAAACCATGGCAAGAAAACAAGCAAATGCAAGCTGTTCTCTTCTGATAACCCTGGAGGTTGAAAATTATTAGACTTAATTATATGAAAAATAAGACCGATCTTGTGTGTGTAATTTGCCTTTGTAAAAGGTTACAATGTTTTTAAAGTTCGTAGCATTTGACTGGCATCAGCTTGACTTGGCCAGCTGTACCAAGGTAGAGCAACACTTACTGTGTGTTCAAGCAGAAACTTCTGCCAAGTACAAACTATTAGCTGTAAAATAGTGCTGCTTTGCATTACAAATAATTGTAGTTGGAAAAGGTGCTGTAGAGGAAATAGTGACTTCTTTTTTTTTTCCTGGACATCATCTTCTATGATCAAATTATCTACTGATCCAAGAGGTTTAGCAATGAAAAACCATTTGGGAATTTCTCTCTTTGGCACTTTGCTGTAGGCATTCTTAAGCCATCAACAGACTTACACAGAATCACACATTCTGTTTATTTGGAACTGCTGCCAAATTTTCCAGGTACCCACAATCCCCTGAAAGTGTTATTCAGTTTGTAGGGTCCTGTCCCACAGCTAACTGTGTTTGAATTGGCCACAAAATATACAAGCTCTGATATGTATCTGCTGAGAAATATATTCAGTGACATTCTCCAATGATACATCCTACAGATCCTCATCTTTCTCTCTTACCTTGATCTCAGATTCTTTCCTTAGCAATGATCATATGAATTTTCTTACATTTATCTTCCTCACGCTGGCCCACTAGTTTGCTGGGATTCCCAGCCTTCCCACTCCTTCAGATCCCTCAGATCCTGTCTTTTTTTCTTCTATTATAGTTGTTTGTACTTCCACATCCTGTTGAGAGGTTATAAACCTTTATTGAATTTTCTTCCATTCCCCGATTAGGGAAAACATCTTAAATTGTTCCCCCCAGGAAACCCAAAGCTGACCTCAGTATAGAGAATGTGGAGAAAATGAGTCTGCAGCAGTCTGACTGCCTTTTTCAAACCCATCAAGGCTCATAAATGGCTTTGTATCACATTAATCCCACAGAATTCATGGTCCTGTTCCATACTTACAGGACCAAGTGAGCTCTGCCAACCACAGTCAGAGCAAACTGCTTCTCCCCTACTTGCCACCAACCCACACCCACAGGACAGAAAAACTTCAGTATGTATGCACTGTGTGAGTAAGTGGAGAGAACCACGCTGACCAAAACCCTGCCTTCCCCCCGAGAAAACGGGCACACCTCTTTATTCAGTACAGCATGTGCTTCCCCACTGTGTACACCTGCTACACATAAGCACAAATCTTCAAACACAGATCTCTTGGATTCTTGTTCATTTTCCACAATGTCTAACTCTGTGATAATTTTTGCCAGCCAGAAGGGAACAGACCAATTAGTGAAAGCATGGCTTTTCAAATTTCAAATATGTTCTCAGGCTTAAATAAGTATTAGTCTCTACATTTCTAAATTGAGCAGAATCTTTTTTTCATTGGAAAATTTGAAATGTAGCCGTTCTTCTGCCAGACTCAGTATTTTAAGGCTCTCAGAAGTCAAAGTATTTAAGCAAACCCTAATTTTAAATCACAGTTACAAAAAATATTTACTTAAGTACTGTGTTTCAGGGTTAATCCTATGAAATTCACAGATTTAGAGGTAAAATATATTTTTCACAGTTCTGTGCTGTTTTCTCAGTTCTATTTTGATCCTTCTGGTAGCCTGCCTGGGTAGCAAGTAGACAACAGAAGTTGATAAATCAGAAATTGCAATCACTGCTCAGATGAGGAAAGCTTCAATGGAAGTCTGAATCTGAACAGGAAGAATGGTTTTCTGTTTCCTTTCAACTACAGTAGCAGTATACATTCTTAGCAGTAGAATGCCAGCCATGTTTCAAAAAGTCACCCACATTGCAGTATATAAAAAGGGGTCTCTGTCAAACATGCTTGGGCCCAAAATTGGACAGAGATTAAAAATAAAACCCATCACTTCAGTGTGGGAATTTAAAACACCTCTGGGGGTACAAGCTTTGCAGGAGGCATATAGAAAAGATCTGTAAACTCAGCTTCCGTTAGTATCTCTGCAGCATCAGTCAGCAAACCTCAACTATCCCCTCCAGGTAGGGTAAAGGAATTGATAAGTCTTGTGCAGAAGTAAATTATGTGCTTCAGATAATATTTGTTTTATAAAAAAGAAGGCAGAGTGGAGAGTGAGTTCTAACAAAATCCATGATACTAAGAAACAGGTTTTGTTTTCTCCCTGAATTGCTTTCTGGAAATGAGCCTTGAGGGCCTCCTTTCTTCTGAAGGAGCCAGCTGAGGTTGTATTTCTACCCACATTATCCCAGGAAAGGACCTCACTTTCAAAAGAGATTGGCAAGTAATTGCTCCAGTGGAGACCTGCAAATCCCTCACCCCAGTTTGTCCTCCCTCAGAGCAACCCAGACTCTAGAACTTGTTGAAATCTGGTCAAACAGTCTCAGAGCTGTGGTGTAACCTGAGCCAGGGTATGTCTGGCCTTTCACAGCAGAAAACATCAAAAATATTTTGGTCATTGTGCAACCATGTCTTAAGAAAGCTGAAGGAAACATCCTTCCTACAAACTGGCAGCCTCTAACAGAGGGACTGAGTAAACAACAGGACTCGAGTCACCAAGGTGGAGTGTGACAAGGGCTGGAAATCAGAGAATGTGCATGCTCCAAAAGGGAACCTGAGGTTTCTTAATTCAGAAATTTGCTCCTAGAGACCCAAATTCTTTGACTGGGAACAGACAACAGCATCATCTTTTATTTTACAACATGCCTGGAGAGGGTACCACTTCCAGGAGATGGAGGTGGGTAACACTTTGCCCTTTTAAAAAACACAAGTCATTGTCTTGGTGTAAATCCCCAGCATTGGGGGTCTTAGTGTTCTTGATCCTCAAGCAGACATCTCAAGTGTGATCTCAAATGAAGTGACAAAGTCCCAGAAGACTCACCTCTGTGTTTAGTTTTCCCCTAGACAGATCCATACCCAATGCACTGACCTCTGGAGCACCAACGTATTTCCATGTGCTTCTGTGTCTATTTTTGGAGTCCAGTCCTGAATGTGGCCCTTTGTACCTCAGCTATCATTTTGCTGATGAGATAAGAATATTTATATACTGTCCCTTGTTTATTTAAATGTCAACCCTTTAAATCAGAAGTATCCCTCACTGTGTGCATAAATCTGATAGAGCATCAAGGGGGATAGAAGAATGGGAGCTCTAAGCACAGTAAAAATGGCAGTAAAACTATACATCCTGTATACAAATTAATTCTTAATTGCTATTGTTAGAATACAATCTTCTGTGAATTTCTTTATAGTTATGGACTACCTGTAATCTAAATATCTCTTGACTGTTTAAATGACATGGCTAGGAAGAAGGTTTCTCCCACTGAGAATGGAGACAATTTAGAGTATGGAACAGAATGAGATAAGATGAATATTCAGAAACTCATGGAGTCAACTTTTTGCACACACAGATTAAATCATAAAAAAAATGCCACTGCCTGCAGTATCAATGCCTAGTCATAACTGCACTATTTATAACGGGATATTAAGCTTTAGTTATGTTACTGTCTTAGGCTACATAAACCACCAGGAAAGGAGAGAATAAATAAGGTTCTTGCAGATTACTTAGTTGTAGCAAACAAGAGGCTGCACTACTCACAATTTTGCTTTGCAAGTAAATTCCATGGTGATGGGATGGGTTGGGGGGGAAGCAGGACCCGAACTAGCATTAATCAGTATGGCCTTCGTAGGCCATTAATCAGTATGGAAATCAGTGGGGTAAATCTTCAGCTTTCAGAAACTGTAGTTCTGTCTTACTCATGTTTCTCTCTGCAGAAATGGAGAATCTCATTACCCAAGATACAGATGTCGTCTGTGTGTTACTCCAGGTAATGCAGCACATGCAAACTACAGCACAAGCTAGGTCAGTCTAGTAGTGAGAGTACTTTCAGCTCCACCAACTATGCCTGCTGCAGGATGTTAGAAAGGTCTTTTCATCTCCCATTCCTTCACTGTCCTTTCAAAACCTTCCGTCTTCTGTCTTTGAGCTGTGAAGGAATTGAATCCTTCACTTCCTCGTTGCACAGATGAGCCTGTAAAGTCAGAGTTCCCCACAACCCCGTTTGGATGGAACGAGTTGCCTCTCTCTCACCACCCTGACCTTCCAAAATGCTCACAGGAAAATAACTGAAGTCAAAATGACACCAAAAGTAAAAACAGATCATGGTTCTGCCTGCTACATAATACAGGTATTGTTGCTCATGGTAAATGCTTTTGTTTTAAGATTCAAGTTTTGTGACTCCTGAGCCTGGATCAGCATCTTTTGCCTGGAATCCTTTGGTCTCACCACTCTCAGAATTGTTCTTCAGGCAAACAAAGAGTAAGATATACGGATCCAATAATTTTCCTGCATTAATAACAGGATTACCAGAAATCCATTTTTTTCTTTTTAATATACTTCCACTTTCAGAGCTGAGGAGCCTTGCAGCAAATGAATGTATTTGGCTACAGGTCCTGCTCAGGCATATAAACCCAGCTAAGCTAAAACTGTTTTTTAAAATTGATTTTTTTTCCTCAGGCAATATTGTTATGTCCACCTTCTAATCTTTAATTGGATGTCAGAGTTAGCACATTGATAACTTGGCTTACTATCCATTTAATTCTGTTTTGACTGCTGATAAAGTAATTACACCATTTGACATAGGAAGGACAGGCTGAGGAAGTTGGAGTAATTTGATGCTAAAACACACTATACATTAAGATGTGTCATGTCGATTGTTACAAGGACATACTTACTGTGGTCCAACCGACTTGCTGACCCAGGTCTGTAAAATACAGTGTAATGATGGAGGAAGCGGCAAGGCTTTGAATGTTAATGGAATCCTTCAAATAGGGCCCATCTGTAGTGACAAAAATGAAAGAGGAGATGGCATGAACAACAGGCAACCTCTCAGAGGCTCAGCATTACATGTAGGCTGCCCTGCTAATGGTCAAGGTGTAGGCCCAACTTGCATTCGGATTTATTTTTCTGACTTAGCACTTATTCTCCGTGTTAGCAACTCAGAGCATTTCTATGAGAATTATTCTCCTCTCATTTTAACAAAAGCGTTAGGCTGACATGACACTGGGCAGCAATGCATAACAACTGCTACGATGCTACCTCTGTTAATCTAGACCATTAGAGACATGTCATGCAATCACACAGACCATTTCATTGAGCACTTTTTGTTCTGTCTTGCAAGACTAATGGGAAAGTTGATGTTATGCAGTGTCTCCATCACTGATATCTTCTGCTGAAACATTTGCATTCTCAGGCTATTTTACAATAGGTGGCACCATCGCAATGAACACAACTTCTTGGGCAAAAGCCCACAGACCAAGATTACTTTGTAAGCTGTCTGACCTAGGCAGACCAGGTATATCTGAGCATTACATTACTTTTCACAGTATTCTGAGACATCTGCTTTCACTCCTGATGGATCTAGAGTATACAAGCAGAGTCATAAAATGGCAATATCTGGTTCTCTCTTTTTTAATAGAGGCAATGAGCTGGATATTAGGAAACCCCAACAGCCACTGGCATGGCATGTTGCCATGGTTGCAACACTTCTTTTCTCTTTTCCAATTTATGTACTGTGTCTCCTTTTCAATATGGTTGTTGACTGTTTAAGTCAGTGAGGGTGCTAGATTCCACCAGGTGCTGAGCCCTCATTTTCTAGGGCTGTGCAATGCTACATGTCCACAGACCAAATGCCATACAGCGCATGGCAGCTTCCTCTCCCACTGTCATGTCCACCAAGAACTGATATACTGGCACAAAGGAAGAGGTTGCCTTCTGCAGCCAGTTGCATCTTCTGATAAGGCTGTGAGCAAGTACTAAAACAGATAATGCAGTGAGTGAAAGGAGTGAATGGTTTTAAAACTGCCTTGTCTTACAGCCATGTACTCTATTCTGAAACATTTTTACTCAGTGGTTCTGAAAACCATTAGATTCCTTTACTAATGAGAAAGGTAAAAAGTTCATCATTGATATCAATTAATGAAAAAGTGCTAACAGTTCACCAAATAATATATATCAAGAAAGCAGTACTGTTAGGAGGAGAGCTTGCCAGAGGATTAATAATACATAAGGTGGATGTATTCAACCATATGAATACTTACTGCGTTCTAGTTGCAGGCCAACACGGGAAGGGTACCACTGGGGACCTGTTCAAATCACAAAGCACGGCCATTAATTTCATGGTGGAGGATCTAAATTTCTCTTTCTGTTAGTATTCTTTTTAGCTGATAGCTGCAAATGTGTGATTTAAAAAAAAAAATAAAATCCTCTCTTTTGGTCTCACCTATACAAGGAGAATACAAGAGAGCTAGGAGGAGTACACAATACACACATTAAAGCAGAAATCCCTTCTCCTCACTTGTGTGTTTGGAGAGCCAGTCTCAATCCTGAATGCTCCATCAGCACACAAAAAAATAGGGGGGTGTGTGTGCACCACTGGGCACTATAAAGAGGACCCTGTTTATTGCTATATTTGCCAAAACTGTACTAAACGTGTCAGTCTTGCCCCTCTCTCCAAATGATGCTTGTTTTAGAGTCTGGTCCAAAGGGGTTAGTTTTTCCCATTTAGGAATATAAAACCTGACTAGGGATGTGCAGCTCGCCCTAGTTCTTAATCACAGATCAATCAGGCAAATAGAGACACAAAAAGCAGAGGCACCTGAGTAGCTAATACTGGGGTATGTATGACTTCCATGATATCAACTTAAGGATGTTCCCTAGAAGCAGATTTTTAAATGCTGTAGGTTAGAGGTTGCTCCTAAATGCATAATAGCAGTTGGCAGTTGTTATTAGGTGCCCTTTGATGATTTTGGACAGAGACCCCTCAGTTTGTTCAAACAGGTACAGGTCTCCAGCTGCATTTGTTTCTCTCAGTGTAAGGGCAAGTGGATAGTTGCCACAGAAAAACTGCAGAAGGGATCGTGCCCGTTCAAACTGTTAACTTGTCCAGCTCCTTGTAGTGGCTGTATGAAGAAGGCTGTGCCCCTACAGCTGTGCTGGCTGAATGAACAATATAAGCACTCCTCCTTTGAAACACAAAGACACACTACTTTGCTTAACTCTCACATACACTTCTGTTTGCTGTTGAAGGATTTAGGGCTGACCTGGAACAGCCTGGGGAGACCTTACACACCCTATGGTGTTGACTGAGATTTGGGGGCAGCAAAGTCTGACAGACAAAAGCAAGGGAACAGATGCACTATCACCACCTCCAGCCTTTTCTACCGCATATGTCTTTATTTCCTTTGACACACCTTAGGACAGTCAGTAGCCTGAAAGAGATTTGCTTTGTCTTTTCAATTCAAAGTCTGGGTGAAACTGGTCAAATATAGCCATGGTTTTCCTTAGATCTATCTTACAATTGTTAATATTCCTGTATTTAAGATACCAGTATTCCCATACCTTAAACAAATGGAAAAAAATTCCTCACAATGTTGTGATCAAATGTGAGAACATTTACCCTGAGAAGCTGTGGGGTCTACTTCCCCTGGAGGTAATCAGGCCTCAGCTGGGGAAGACTCTGAGCAATCTTATAGGACTTGAAAGTTGGCCCTGCTCTGAACAGGAGCCTGGACCAGATGAGCTCCGAAGATTGTTTCTACCTTAACTGGATTTCGGGATGATGAGCTTGTTCACCCCACCGGCTGCCAGCTGGAGAGGGAGCTGTACACAGTGTGCACTGCACTCACTGTGCAGTGGCAGCCAGCACGCTCTCATCTCAAAAGCACTCGGTCTGAGTTTTGCAGGCAAGAATGGGCATTAGATGAACCCATGAACCAGGGCTAATAGCAGGAGGTGAGACATCCATCAAGTAAGTTGCAAACATTTTTTTCATGGTACCACAACAACCCATGGCTATTAAAGATAACAAAAGGAAGATAGAGAAAGAGCAGCTGTCTGACTTGTCAAGGAAGATATGATTTGCTCCAGGACAGCAGATATCAATAGTTATTTGGGAGCCTGAAATGCAATGTACTTGTGTTAAATTGGAATCTTCCCTGTAGCCCCCCCTGCCTCATATTACAGTATGTTTCAATAAAAGCCAATTTACCTGATCCTGTGGCAATGCACTTTTAGGTATGGCTCATAATCTTCACAAGGGCAAACAGAGGTTGTGCGTTTAAGCACGTCATCCCACATTTCCAGTCCTTTAACCTCAGTACACCATTATGTTCAAGCATACTCAAAGATTTAGACAGATGGAAGTGTGCTTTTGCCACTGCTTGTCTGCAGTGACCTTGTTATCAGACCACTGTGTTCTAGACCATCTTTGGGGTGCTGTCTGTATTTTGTTGGAGAGACCTGGAGTTAGCTGTAGGGATGTTCCTTCCCAGCTCTTACTATTAATGGGGGGCCACTAGCTAATGTCAAGTGGAAATGTTATGCAAATTGAGGGGTGGGGAAAGTCCAAACACATCTCTATTTGTATGTATGTTGGTTTTAGTCTGAACATGAAAGTTTCCCACTTTCAGTCTTAACTGGCAGCAGAGTTTATCAAGGCTGTTCCTAAGTCTTAACTGCTCAGGGTCCTGCAAAAAACAGGGTTGCTTTCTGGAGACAAGTGTGACCCCACTTTGTTCCTCAGTTGGTCTCAGAGCTCTGGCTGGTCAGCTCTCCCAGCCTGATGAGACTCATTTCACAGAGAAGAAACCCCACACATTCCGAGATATCAGAGATTTGCCTGTTCACCCCTTGGCAGCAGATGGCCAAGGGGACCTTGGCCCCACTTGTCACCATTTACATGTCTTCTTCTTGTGATTGTTTTCCATAGAGATCCTCCAGAGCTCTCACTAGGACAGCTCTAGATTTCTATCTGGCAATGCAGGATAGAGAAAGCCATTCCAATCCAGCCTGTCTCTGGCAAACACATATTCATGTCATTCCTATAGAAAAAAAGCTCTCATTTATTTTAATAGTGAAAAGAAGGCAAATGCAGGGACTAATTATCATCTGTCTTAATTCTTGTTACTGCCTGTCAGAATAAGGGGTTGATAGCTCTCTTGGATACCTAGAGGCTGTACTATCTGGCAGATTAGCTTCACCTGCTATCAGCAGGAGTTCAGAAGTGCATGTGGAGAGTGCATGCTCCCAGACAGCATAAACAAGTACTCACTACAGACAAAGACACAGCTGCAGCTGCGTGCAGCACTCAAAGGCCTCTCTGCACTCCCACATCTGGCAAAGCTCCCCTTGCTTCCAGTCTAAAGCTGGAGGGTTTTTCCAGAGGGTTTTTTTTTTTTTCAGTAGGGTTTACTTCACAGTTTATTTTTACCAACACTTTCCATTGGCACCTCCTGCAGAGATTAATAGCAAAGCAAATGGGTGACTGAAGTTTATCTTGTAGCTTGCATCTGAGATCAGGCATGAATTATTACTTGCTTTCTGATATTGTGATGGTGCATCAGAGCTCAGTCACATGGTACTGTATAGGTCACAGTCCCTCTGTATTTCTTATGATCAGCAGAGCTGTTCAGCTCCCTTATGCGGGGTTATGGTTTTGGCTAGGCATTTCACACTTGGAACAAAGTCGTAAAAATAACATTTCAGCCAACTTATATCCCAGACTGGTTTTGACTTAAAAAAGCAGACATAGACTGACCTGAAAATAAGAATGGGCATCATGGTTCAAACCACAGGTCTATTTAGCCAATGTTATATTCTCTGATATTTAGCCAACATTGTGGTTCCTCCATCACATTTCTTAGAAATCTAGCATTTGTGTAGAACAGCTTTTGTTCCTTTATTTGCAGTGTGTTTGGACAGCTATTGAAATACCTTCCTGGTTTTCCATCTCCTATTTGATTATTTCTACTATCCTCACTCATCCTTCTCTTGAAGGGTGTTTACCTCAGTCTTTAATACAGTCACCCTCCAACCACATGCACATGGGCACCTGAAAGCTTTGCCCGTTCCTCAGCTGAAAGGTCATTCACAAACTCCTTGATTTTAGGTGACTGAGCAACGTGATCTAGTGAAAGATGTCCCTGCCCATGGAAGGGGGGCTGGACGAGATGATCTCTGAACATCCCTTCCAACCCAAACTGTTCTACAATTCTATGATTCATTCTGCTGTGATTCAATGTTCCTTCTATGTGTACAGGCTTCCTTTAGTCTGGAAGTGTAAGCAATTCATGATGAGTCTTAAGACTTTTACCTTATTCCATCTTCTCTGTCAGGAATCTGTTCCAAACTTTGTGGAAAAAAATCCAGATATTTATTTTAAAACAGTTAAAATATTTTAATGCTATTACTTTTAAAGCATTACAAATTTTCAACACAGGATGGTATTTTCTTGGAAGGTGACTCAATGTTTCAATAATCCATTGTAAAAAATGGGCATGAGGAAAAGATATTTAATTTTGGATGGGTTGTTGTGCCTGACAGTATTTAAAACAAAAATTAAAACATAAGGAAACTGACAGAATATATAAAGACTGACAGCCACACTTAATCTGACCGTACCTAACTATGAAACCACTTATTAATACTGGATATAAAAAGGAGATGTAGTGCTATTAAACAGCCATACAAATACTTGCTAAAATGACAGCTTCAGTGCCAGGCCCAGCTCCCAATACTGCTATGCAAAGATGCACGGAAAACTAAGTTCTACTGGTCCCAATGCTCCCACACTTTGTCTTTTCACTGCATTTATACTAGCATTTCAGTAAATAAATCAGCTGACAATCACAGGAACTGAGAACAGTTTTTAAAGTGTCCAAAGGTATCCTCTATCTACATGATTCAAACTGACCTTAATGTGAGCTCCACCACATAAATATCACAAAAGGTTTTGAAAATTTAACAACTAAGAAATCTATGTACTGGGTACTTTCCAATAGTTACAAAATTGAAGAGATCCATCTAATTTTTACTAAATTTTATAAAGAACCTTCCATTAAAATTCTTCAGTGGGCTGTGTGTTCTGTAGTAAATTACAGGATCAAATGCCTATTTGTCACAAAGTATTTATGAAGTTATGTGAACCAGTATGAGAGCAAAGGTGTAACATGATTAAGACCTCTCTTGCTGGGAAATTTGGTGTATTAGAATGCAGCCCTGCAAGAGCTATTCTGCCGGGGAGCGAGGAGACTAAGAATTGCAAAACAGAGCTGATGGACAAAGTCTGCAGATAATTAGCAGATTG